TTGCACTACAATTAGTGCTGTTGCTTTTTCTTGGTGATCTTGTTCATCAATATCAAAGGTAAGAGTTTCTTCGATATGTTTTCCGAGATCCTTAGCGGTATCAGTAGTTGATTTATATATACTTGTCAATCCACCAGTAATGCTACCCAAAATTCTTTGAGTTTTTTCTACATTGACTTTTTTCATCTCGGTTTCAATGGCCTTGCCTTCCAGTTTATGTTCTTCAATAACTTTATATGTTACCTTATCAATTACATATTTGTCAGTGGCTTCTAATAACTCTTTTTCTATCTCGGGATCACCAATTTGAATAGAGAGATATTCTCGGGCTTTATTGTAATTATCTCGCCATTTACCTTCGTGTTGTGATGCTGCATTTTTAAGATAACTGAGATTAATGGCGGTGGACCACCATAAAGCGGATTCGGGTTTCTTAAGTTTTTCATTTTTAGTATATGTTTGAACTGTCGTTATTAGAGTCTGAGTAGAGGGGATATCTAATTCTTTACATATAGTTTCACTCAATTCAATTTGGCCATCTTTTTCGTTTTTCCTTGCTATCTCTTTGTTTTCAAAGGCCTTTACAAATTTGCTGTCAGCTTCTTCAGCTTCCTTGTTGACTTGGTATCTTTCTACTACAAATTTTTTGGCACATTCCAAAATCTCGTTCACTAATTCAGTATCCTCTTTGCATTGTTTGACCAACCATTCATATGATTTTTCATAGTTTTGAGACCATTCATTGCTGTGATCGATAGCAACCAATCGAAGATACAAAATTGTACATGCAGTAATCCAAACGTTGATATGAAGTTTCGTAACACGCTCGGTTTTGAAATAGTTTTTGAGATATTTAATAAATTCATCCTCTGATTCAAACCAGTAGAAGTTGACAACTTTTTCGTTCAAAGCTATACTGCCATCTTCTGCTTGATACCTAACAATGCGTCGGATAAAACGGACAGTAATGTTTTTACGAGTAACAATTATTTTTTTATCTATAATAAGAGATTACGAGATTATATTAATAAGTATATTTATAATAGATCAAAAGAATAATTAATTTGAATTCTTACCTTGAGTTAGAACTTTTAATTGATCATCCTCAAAGCTTGTGATTTTGAATACTTCAATAATGAATTTTTTGCATGCCTCATATAATCTATCTTCAACGTCAGTATCATCTATTTGTAAATTCAACCATTTTTCGCTCTTTGAGACTTGAGTTTTCCATTCACTATAGTATTTCCAACATATGATCCTAAGGTAAGTGATAACAATGGCAGTTGACCATACATCCATATCGCACTTTAGAAGATACTGATCAGTAGCAACATATTGCTTGAATTTTTCGACCAACTCTTGCTCATTCTTTAAATTAAGGAATCGAGCCAGATTCTCAGAAAATGTAAAAGCTCCACTTGAAAGCCGCCAGCCGAAAATGATATAGAGATGATGAAGTGTAAAGGCCTCTTGTGAAAAGACAAAGTTCTCCTCTGAATTGAAAACGGAGGAGAAGAATTTAGCACACAAATCAAGACTTCCTTTAACAGGTTTGTTGTCAAGTTGAAGTGGAACCTGTTGGTCAAAGACTTTTTCGCTTATCAAAGAACCGTCGTCTTTCTTTTCCACAATAAAGCTAGATTCGAAGACGTAAGTACCAAGTAGTGTGTCGGATACGAAAATATTATAATCATTAATCTCGAAGGTTATTTTTTCGGTAACACGGTGAATTGGAACAAGGAAAAATTCGTTCCATGTAGGATTGTTAGTTCCGTTAATGGTAATAGTACGGCCGATTTCTTTAGACGTGGAATTGAGAATTCGAACGTAAGGATCTGGGTGGGAGTACATAAACCAAGATTTTTTGAGATCTTTAGCAGACTTGATGTCAAACCTAATGACACCAATAACTTCTTCAGAAGCAATTATATCATCATCATCATCTTCGGTAGCAAGAGGTTCTTGAACAATACTATCTCGAGAATACCGAAGTGAATTATCTTCATCTATGGATGACTGTCCAACTTGGAACCTCTTTATGACAAAGATTTTGGCCGCATCCATAAGTTCTATTCTTGTTTGTTCATCTGGAACTTGTTCGCTAATCCAACTTTCCGACTTTTGGAACACTTCAGTCCATTCGGTCCTAAAATCAATCAAAACGAGACGGAAATACCAAATAAAAATTGCTGTATTCCAAACATGAACATCGAGTTTGGAAGCTTTAGAGTATGAAGAAAAATGTATTTCGAGATGTTTCTTGGCCTCTTCAATTGAACTGAAACCAAATGACCCAGATGATTTATCGCTGAGTACAAAACATCCAGAGTCGTTTTGATAAGTAATAAACCGACGCACAATACGTATATTAGCTTTAGAACGAACAATAATTGATATCTTGGTATCAACTAAATAATAGACAAGTACGATGAGTTAATAAAAAAAAGTTATAACTGAAAAATCATATTTTTTGTGGAATTCCTTACCTCCCAAACTTATTCTTTGACTTTCACTTTCCCATTCAGTAATATTAAAGTGTTGAATGATAAATCGGGTTACACAACTGTAAAGACGTTCTTCAATATCATTGTCTGGAACATTATCACTCAACCAAGCTTCACCTTTGTTGTGAATTGCAATCCATTCGTAGTGATATTTCCATAATAAAGTTTTGAAGAATGAAATAATGAGACAAGTACTCCAAACATTGTGCTTTAAGTAACGAACTCCATCATCATTTGCCACAAAATTGGAAAATGCTTTTATCAATTCTTGTTTAGAAGAAAAATTAAATAATTTCGCAGTCTTATCAGTTAATTCAAAACAACCATCTTGACGTTGATAAGATGTTATGAGATATAAATGGCGAATATTGACTGTTTTGGTGGTAATAACAGAACTAGTTTCGGCTTCGGAAAACGAATTAAATTCAACAAAAAAAGATAACATTCCATATTTTCTTCCTTTTAGAGTAAGATCAACTTCCTGTTTTCCTAACTTCTTTCCTTCAAGGGATCCGTTGGCAAGAATTTTGACAATATCTTTTAAATCAAGAATATAATTCCCCAAAGGGGTATGCTTTAATACAAAATTATAGTCGAAGACTTGAAGTTTGAACTTGTCTTTAATTTCATGAATTGTGATATAGAAAACTTGATTCCAGGTGGGGTTTAAATTGTTGTAAACGACACGTGTTTCACCATATGCCCAACCAGTGGACACGCTAGAGATTTTCACATACGGATCTGAGGTACCAAACAAGTAATCTGCTTTTTTTAACTTTTTGGCACTAATAATTTCGATTCTTAAAACACCAAGGGGTTTTTTAACTTAATATGGAAATTTCGAAATGCAAAAAAATATTGTAATCATAATTAGAAAAATTTTAATTAATTAAGCGCAATTAATCTTTATTAAATATCCATACCAATTCCGTAAATACTTATATTAGGGAACTTGATGTTTGAGATTATTGGTTCCATTTCTACTTCAAAAGTAGCGTCCAACTCGTAAACTCCTTCTTCAACTTCGTATACGTCTCGAACAAATGATTTGATTATTTGAAACCCCTCCTGTTCAACTTTTTCCTTACCTTTAAACTGGCCCCATAACCATTTATATGACTTCTCGTATGTCGGTACCCATTCTTTCTTATGATCGATTGCAACATAACGATAGAAATAAATTACAAGGATAGTAACCAAAACCTGATGATCCAATTGTGTGATTGACGCGGATTTTAGGTTTTTGCGAATAAAGGCATTGAGAGCCGTACGAAGTTGCTCGGCATTATCGAAAGAAAGAGATTTTGCGAGACCATCATTGACTTTATATGAACCATTTGCATTTTGGAATTTTATAATACGTTTAACTTGTGCGACTGAAATGTTTTCTCTTGTTACATTTCTTTTCGATGGATCTATAATACAAATATGTAAAAATGACATCAAACAAATAATCAAATAGTCAAATCAATAATAGCATTACATACATGGGGTATCTACAAATTTGATATCAAATCTTTCACGGACTGCTTTTCTTCCAATGGCAAATACAATCTCTTCAATTTCCAGATCACTATTTATTTCTTTGCTAATATATTGTTTAGCTCGTTCAAAAACTCCGGCCCATTCTTTCCGGAATTCCTTTAATAAATATCGTAAGAACCATAAGACCATACTGGTAGTCCATACTGTAGAGTTAATTTTTAGTACAAGATCATCACGACAATTTTTTTTATAAAATTCAAGTAGTTCATCAGGATTGCTATAACCAAACAAGCTGGCCAATGTATTTGAAGGTGGAAAACTTCCATCTGGTGCTTGTAGTGTAATTAGTACAAATAATGTAGAACGATCAAATGGTTTTTCCTTGAGATTGGAAAGAAAATCTGGTAATGAATCTGGAAGAGGTGTGAGTGCGAAGAATTTTGCTTTGTAATTAAGTTCGCCTTTGATAGAAAGTTTTGCCCAACTAGAAAAATATGAATAAATAAAAAAAGGATTAATGAATAAGTTCTTTATTTTTTAGATATTTATTAAAACCTAGCTTACACATCAATTCCATTTGGTGTGCCTTCAAAAACATCCTCCGAAACTTCATTCACTAATTCTCGTGTTACTTCGAAATGACAAATACCGAGAGGTTTATCCTTTATAAATTTGTTGAAATCCATCACTTCCAAAATGAATTTATCACCAATAGTTTGAACAGGCAAATAATGAATTTCATTCCAATTAGGATTTAATTTATTTTCAATGACTTTAGTCTGAGCAATAATATCTTTACCGCCTTTATGAAAGACTCTAACATATGGATCCGATTTCCCTATAATGATTATATCATGTGAGAATAGCATTTCACGGAATTAAATCATAATTGAAAATATATTTAAAAGTTTATACCTCCTGCAAGGAAGAAGTCAGTACATTTGAGATCCTTTGCGCCTATCAATTCTAATCTGCAAACACCAATAGTCGAGTGATCTGATGAAAAATGAACAATGATATTAAATTTTAAATTATTTACTCAACCAAAAAAAATTATTACATAAATAGAAATTCCTTACCTCCCGAACTTTTCTTTTTCTTTTTTTCTTCATATTTGATTTCTTGTTCTTCTGGATGTGCTGGTAGTGTTGGAGCTGGAGCTGAACTATTCGAACTAGCATCAATATTACTATTAGTAGTAATATCATCAGTATTATTTTGTTTAGAATCTATACATAAAGAATATAGTATTTAATTGAATATATTGAAATAATTATTTAAAAATAATTATAATATAATTGAAATATGAAATAAAAATTATAAATTGTAATAATTGAAATTAAAAATATTATTACCTTGATTAATAATATCATTAATATCGAAATTTAATCGTTGAGTTAAATATAAAGAATCAGTATTGTTTTGTTTAGAATCTATACATAAAGAATATAGTATTTAATTGAATATATTGAAATAATTATTTAAAAGTAATTATAATATAATTGAAATATTAAATATAAAATTATAAATTGTAGTAATCGTAATTGAAAATATTATTACCTTGATCAATAATATCAGTAATAGTGAAATCTAATCGTTGAGTTAAATATAAAGAATCTTATTTTATGATTAAATATAATTGAAATAATTATTTTAGTAATAATTATAAAAAATAGAAATAATTAGAATTATTAGAATTGAAAATTGAAAATATTAATTATTTACTATCATCATTATTATTATTATTATTATCGTTGTTATTGTTATTAGCAGGAATGTCACGAGAAAATGAAATAGTTTCTACAATTTTAATTTAAGTTTAATTGAAATTAATTGAAGTTTAAGTTAATTAAACTATCTAAAAATATTTTATATATTATATATGAAATAGTATATTAACCATAATTTACTGGATCTTTTAACAATATTTCAAAAATTTCTGGTAAAATTGTCGAATCAGGTCTTTGATCCGGATCAGCATTCCAACAATTTTCCATTAAATTAATATATCCATTTAGTATGTCATATTTCTTAAAATTACTTATATCCGGTCTTTTTCCACTTAAAATATCTAATGTCAATGTGAGATCATGTTCTATATTTTTGTAAGGAGGTTCCCCACTAATTAATTCGTACATAATCATACTTAAACTATAAATTTCTGATTTCTTTGTGTACGGATTCTTATTTAAAACTTCAGGAGCTATGTATGGTAAAACTCCTACTATCTCAGTTTCTATTTAATAAAAATCAAATGTAAAATATATAAAGTATAAAAGTGAACTATTATGATTAAAATAACGTTAAATAGTATTAAAATAATGTTATTAATAATAATATATTAAAATAATATATTAAAATAATATTATTAATTAAAAATAAATTACCATTTTTCGAATTTTCTTCACGACAAGATAAACCAAAGTCACCAATATAAATTTTAAAATTTTCATCTACAAATATATTTTTACAATGAAAATCTCGATGTAATATATCCATTCCATGTAGAGTCTTTAATGATTTGGAAATTTCCAAAAGTAGAGTAATTTTATCTTTCCAATCAAATTTAATATTATTATTTTTATCATTAACCGTATTAAGAAAATCTCTCAAATCTCCATATTTCGCTTTTTTCATTACCATCGCATAATCTAATCTATTATTTTTAAGTCCCTTAGTAAGACCATAAAATGGAATTGCGCAAGTAGTATGACATAAATGATGGATTATGAACTTTTAAAAAAATTATTAATTAATAGAAAAGTGAATTAAAAATTAAAATAATAATTTAGATAAATATTAAAAATAAAAGAGAAAAAATTAAATATAAAGAATTACTTACTTCTTGAAGATGTTGTTCTCCAAAATTTCGAGAATATTTTAAAACTTTAAGTATTACGTTTGGATTATTATTGTTATCATCATCACTAATCAATTCAGCAGAATAAATTCGAGAAAATCCTCCTTTACAAATAGGTATAATATTCTTAAAAGTGTCATTATTATTATCATCATAAGTTATCCATTCTATATAATCGTCACAATATTTTGAATCTTTTTTCGTGGTACTAATGAATTTATCTATTTTTGGATCTCCACTATTAATACTATTAATTGCCGCCGAATTATTATTGTTTTCCGCAGAATTATTATCATTATTATTATTATTATCTACTGTTGGAATTCCTCGAGATTTAATTATCTGTGTTTTTTTTTGTTTTGGTTTCTCTATTTGTAATTGCGCTTGCGATTGAAATTGTGATGGTTGTTGTTGTTGTCGTTCTGCTCTTTTCTTATTTATTGTTAGTCGAGCTCGACAGAATGTGTCGGGTTGCCCACTACATAGTTTTTTACAATATTTACAAATAGGTAATGGTGATGGCGGTACTTCGGTAGTAGAAGTAATAAAAGAAGATTTTATTTTTTTCATAAAAGAAATAAAATTGATGTGCATTGCATGATAATCTGTTAAATAACTTATGTTGTACAAGCCAATTTCTTTGATCTTTTAATTAAATAAATCCCATCATGAATTAAAATCTTATATATTGAAAATAATCCATATGAATTTAAATTACTCGGATCTGACGCTAAAAACTATTTATAATATTTCTGATAAATTATCCTAAAGTATTTATAATACTATTGTTATTTTGAAAGTTTAAGGTATTGAAGAAATTCTTGGATGATATAATCCTCTCGAGTGAGATAAAGATAAAAATCAATGGAAAGATGACCGATGATAATTTTATATTTTCATTAAAGACTGCAAATATGAAAAATTCCATTTTATCGAAGGATTATAATTATTCTGCAATTTGTAATAATGAGTTCACTCTTGTTTTTGGTGTTGCTTTATGTTTAATTGGTAATTTGAAAACTAAAAGGAGATGTTGCAGCACGTCAAGTACAGCATATCGTACGCCAATTCGTTCTGATGACTCTTTTTTCAGTTGAAGAAGATGAAATTACCAAAATTTACCAAATAAATGACATTGTATTCATTTTATTTACACAATTATGTAAAAATAAATATTATTTATTTTGCCTAAATAATTTTCGAATAAAGTATTCGTTATTTTTGTTATTCTTCGCTAATAAATTCATTATTCGTTTTTAATTAAATATTTCTCGTAATTATAAAAATAATAAATAAAAAAAAAATTAAATAAAAGTAATTTATAATATAAATTAAAAAAAAAAAACTGGATTTTAATTTATTTACAAATAAATCTAACAGAAAGAATTATATCTATTCTTGTAATAAAATAAATAAATAAGAAAACTTTGTACTTAATGGCGTAATATTACGACACTACGGTATTTATACGGGACATTTTGATTTTGAACAGGAATATATCGATGCTAAAAGGAAAAAACAATGACATCTTGTAGCCAGAATCAGGGTCAAAAAAAAAAAAAACGGAATAATTTCTTCAGAATGTCTCCGGAAATTTTGCGCCAAAAAAATTCAGTTTTTTTTGACTTCGATCGCGATTTGTTAAAGCCCTGATTCTGGGCTACAAGATGACATGTGTTTTATCCTTTTAGCACCGATATCCGCCGATATATTCCCATTTAAAGTCGAAATGGCCTTGCATAAATACCGTAACATTACGTAGGACTCGTATTATTAGGGATAAAAAATTTCCGGATGAATGATTGAATTTTACGTATTTTTGTAAAAAAAAAAAATTTCTACTCAATTTTACATCGCTTATCAAACGACTTCTTGAAAGTGGTGTTAATTGTGATGTCTCAATTGAAGTTGGCGAAGAAGATTCCAATATTTATCAATAGTTTTGCAATCCTGCAGTCTTTACTTTAAAGTGAGATTTGATGTCAAATTAAAATTTCTGTTAAAGTATTTGGTGCCATTATTAAGTAAGAATAAGTTTTTAAATATATATATTTATGTTAAAAAGTTTTCGTTAGAAAAATTGGAAAGTTCGATGAATTGGTTGAACATTTGGTTAAGGTTGAACTTTGCTCAAGTTTATCGAACAAGTTATCGAAGTCAAAACTTTGAAATTATTCTAGACTAACATCCTAATACTATTTTTAAATCTGAAAATTTTTATTCTATTCACTAATCTACATTCTTAAACAGTTAGAAGAAGGTAAATTTGGGAACATATAATTGAATATGAAAAAGCACAAAATAACGCTTTACCTAATCTCAATTCATAACCTTAAAGGAAACTTTGAAAGGATGCCTCCCATACATTAGATATTTTAGTTTTTCCAATGAAGATGTGATAAAAAAGATTTATCCATGTCAACAACTTCTTGAACATCAACTTTTTTCAGATATCACTATAAAATTTATTACATCGACCAAGCTAATTTCTTCGATCTTATTACCATCTTAAAAGATTTTAAATACAACACTTTCAACTAGAATTACACCAATTCCTTTATCTTCTAATATTATCACTAATGAATGAGCACTAGAAATTCCGTCATGGATTGAAAAACGAAACCTCTTATATAGTCCATATGAAATATAAATTACTTGTTAGAGATGGGTTTGACGATAAAACCTTTTATGATATTTGTGATAATTATCTAATACTATTATAATTTTGAAAGTTAAAGATACTGGAGAAATTCTGGTCGGGTATAATCCTCTCGAATGGGATAAAGATAAAAATCAATTTAAGAATTCCGATGATAGTTTATATTTTCATTAAGGATTGCAAATATGAAAAATTACATTTCAAGTAGGGGGTCAAGGAATTATAGTTATGTCATTTATAATTATTCACAGGATTTGAAGTCGCATTTTGGCTTTGCATTATGTTTAAATGCTGAAAGAAGATGTTTTTGCAGCACGTCACTACAGCATATCGTGCACCAATTCGATATTTTTTTTTTTAAGTTGAAGAATACAAAGTTTTCGAAATTCCACCAAAGTATTCATTTTATTTATACAAAATTATGTAAATAATAAATATTATTTATTTTCGTATAGTTTTTGATTTGTATAAATTTTCAAATAAAGTATTCTTTATTTTTGTTATTCATTGCTAATAAATTTTTTTTTTTTATCCAACAGAGTCTTGCTCCAATAAACTTTATTAATAGATTAAGTGTAAATTTTAAAGATACAGATAATTTATTTTACATTTATT